AGGGGTAAAGAGTTCAGTGGTTTTCCTTACCTTGCTAGAATGCAGTGCCACTCTTCACAGGTATAAATGGAGATCACTTTCAAAGATTCTTTATTACCCTGAAGAGATGTCATATTTGAGACCAATGGATAGTTGTATCTGTCAATACAAGTAACTCCCAAATAACTTCAGGAACTAGGGGTTATTTTTTTCTTTTTTTAGGGTTTTTATTGTTTGGTTGGTTGGTTGGTTTGTGAGCTAAGGGTTATATAGGCAGGAGAAAAACAAGTTTTAAATGTGGATTGGAGGGATAGGGTCCTTGAAAAAATAAGAAGTATACGCGAGAGGAAATGGCTAAATACCTCTAATCTATTAAGATAAGGCTATCAATACAAGAACACAATAATCAGCTTTGATGTAAAAAGCAACCATTAAAACATAGTTGGTTAATAATGTTCAGTGTTACATAACCTCCTCAGGAACAAAATCTTAGCCTTAAATGGAATATAATTCACTATTTCCTGAAAGGCTTTGCATTGCTGTTTTTTCCTCATTACTATTCCTATTAGAACTCTAGTAGAGGGCCGGCCCCGTGGCTTAGTGCTTAAGTGCGTGGGCTCCGCTACTGGCAGCCCGGGTTCGGATCCCGGGCGCGCACCGACGCACCGCTTGTCAGGCCATGCTGAGGCCGTGTCCCACATACAGCAACTAGAAGGATGTGCAGCTATGACATACAACTATCTACTGGGGCTTTGAGGGAAAACAAAGGAGGAGGATTGGCAATAGATGTTAGCTCAGAGCCGGTCTTCCTCAGCAAAAAGAGGAGGATTAGCATGGATGTTAGCTCAGGGCTGATCTTCCTCACAAAAAATTAATTAATTAATTAATTAATTAAAAATAAAAAAAGAATTCTAGTAGACTCCCAAAAAGCATTTAACTTGGTAAAAAAAAAAAAAAAACAAGCTCAGAAGAATGAAACACAAGCTGATTTCGGACTATAACTTTGACATGGAGTAAAATAAGGAAGCTCTAATCTCTTAGAAAACAGGTGTAAAACTATTGGATAATCTTTACATGCCACATAGACTTTCAGGTATTGTCATATAGACATTTTTCAGATATTCCTAAAAAGTCCTGATTTCATATATTCTGCCCCATTGTCAGATATATCATACCAAAGGCTTTGAAAATTGTATCATTTTATTTTTTCCTTATTACCATTGAAGGTAGGCAGAAAAATTATTATAACTCTCATTTTACAAACAAGAAAGGACTATATTTCAGAGATTTGTTCAGGATTATCTGACAAAGCCAGAAGTAGAACTTCAGACTCCTGGTACAATATTCTCTGAGTTTACTCCACTTTCTGTTGAATGGGGTCTTTTATGCCAATTTGGTAGCCTCCAAATTCACCGCAAGGTAATTTAAGATGACCACAAGTTCTTTGATTTGTGAATGAAAGTTTATTAGTTAATATCTGTTAAAACATATAACAATTAAATGGTGTGGATCAATAACTAATAAGAATTATATTCAATTATAATCTAGTAACTGGCAGTAACAATCACACATAATGATACAACTATGTAGTCAGAATTTCCAACATATTTTAGCCAAAGTACACAAGGATGAACTTCCTAATTCATTGCCATCCACCAGCCTATCTTCCTTGGTTTTCACACCTTTAAGTTTGTCTCAGAATGATGAGCCTGTCTCCCTCTCTATCCTTCCACTTCAAACAAGAATTGGCTTTAGTGTTAGTCTTAAGAAGATCCAAAAAAGGGCTAGTTTGGGTAAAGGACTAACCACTTTCTCCATTCTCCTGGAGGAAAGATGCAGGATTTCAATCAGAGGTATCTAATCAGTGGACTGCCAAGTTAGTTAACATATCTCCCTTTAATTGGGCTTTTAAGTGCATAACTTGTATCAGTTGCCAACCAGCTATTTCTATCAATATCAACAACTTAGGGTTGGCTAATTTGCATATGACAAAAACAGGGCGTGGTTCATAACCTGCTTAGAAACTAACTCTACACCATGGTTTTCCACCATAAACAGCTGCACAACTGTTGATAACATTAATTTTCTTTTCTCCCTGGAAAATACCTTCCCTACTAACCCTTGTTCCTAAGTATTTTCTTATTTCCTACACTTATTTATTATCACTATTAACTTTATTTCTAATTCTGTTCCATAGAGCAAACATACCTAATACAACAATCCATTGCTTGGGGCAGGGTTACATCTTAACAATTCTTAAACACATATAATCACACAATCAAAGCAAACTTTGCAATATATTTTATCTAATCCTGAGGTGCCATTATAGTATAATCTTTCCAGGTGACCCATCTAGCCAAGAGGCTAGCCAGTTTCACATATTATGAGGTTGTAGCATCTTCCTGCTTTGACACGTATGGACCATGTTGACCATCAGTTGTTTTATAGGCTGGTTCAAGCTTTATCTTGTTTCAAGGTCTGAAGTAGTCTCACAGATTTCTCTTGATGTATTTTGATGACTTGCTTGAGTTAGTATGGTTGTTTGTGTTGTCTCATTAATACTAACAGTTTTAACAAGCTCACACTAATCTGTTGTGGAATTGTTAGAAAGTCCATATTCCAGAGCTCTATTTGGAGGAATAGCTACCCTTCAGTATCTATCACACTTCAGGAGCACCACATCTGTCAGTTTACAGTTAAACTGCTCACCAGACAGAATTTGTAGCAGACTGACGGTCTCTCCTTGGATATGTTTCCTGATCTTGTCGAAGTATTTATGCTTTGAGTTTTATTTTGACGCAAAATTATAGCCCAATTTCCTAAAGTCCAAATTCCTAGTGGAGAGTGTATATCTTCCCTGGCTGTTTTTAAATCTTTAACTAAAGCATAGGTTCTATCTTTTATCCAGTTCCTCTGTTATTATTCTTGGTTGCTACATGTATGGATTTCCTTGTTTAACTGTTATCACTAATCTTCCTTGCAAAATTTCTCCTATTGGAATGGTGGGATAAACTGATTCTTCTAGCTTTCCCACTGCTCTATTTAAGTTAATTTGGCACAGTCTCTTTACACTGCATCTATTATTTGCCATTTTGGACATACTGCATATCTAGAGTTGCCTACACTGGGAAAGTAAGGCTCAGTTTGGCCAGTTATTGCAGGAGCAAAATCCCTCCATCTGCTGTCTGGCGTGGCTTGTAATTATCCACACTAGCTGCTTGATAATACAACTTTTATTTCTCCTCTTTGTGTCTTTGTTCACCCCCCTACATCTCCTGGATCCTCATCTACTCTATCAATCTTTCCACATAGCAGTCTATTGTGGAACTTTCTCATACAAATACATTTGAGTAGCTCTATAAGTTCTTCTGATTTTCAAAAAGGTCTGTGGTAGATTTTCTGGATACAGAAGTCTCTTTTTTAAACTTGTCAAATAAACTTATCCTGAAATTCAGTGACAAAACTGACTTATGTTTTTCCTGCTACTGCTCATCCAAATAAGACCTGGTTATATAGTCTATAATTTTCCCCATTTACCTTTAAAGATAGCTAATTATCTGTGTATGCAGACCTCATTTAGTATTAGATGCAGCATCTGTCATGTAGGTTAGCTCTGAAGTCATCTGTATTAAATGTCTTTTTAATCCCTCTGACTATAATATGCTTTAGGACTCTATATGAATTGGCATAGTCTGGTTTCCACTAGTGTGGATTAACTTCTACATGTCATGTTTTCACAATTTGCAGATATTCTTTTATCCAGTAGTACACTTTTATGTCTTTACTTAGTTGTTGCCCACGTCATGAGATGCAAAGGCCATTCCGTAGGAAGGAGGACCATAGTGTCCATGGGCTTGTCTGAAGGGTAGCTATTCTTCCAAATGGAAGTGAGGGTACTGAATGGCATGGAATTAGTATGACGGGTCAATTTCCTGCACATTTATTTGATCCCTCTCTGTTTTGATATGGGGGTCCTCCAAATATTGCATTTTCTTCTTCTGGTATCTGCAGAATTATTGTGGCTAAATACCAGTCCAAATTTTAAGTTCATTATTGTTCCCATCTCTCAGTAGTTAGGATTTCTATGTCAAGGTTGCAGGAGGTTCATGATAATAAGCCTATCAGCTATTCTTTATAAATTTAGCTATACCCAAGGAGATACACTGTATCCACTTCTACTTTTGGACCATCATCTCTAAGCCTATGCCATAAGTGTTTGACTTTCCATTGGTGAACAGTTCTTGTAGGGCTTTGTCTAGCCCTCCTAGTACTAGTAATTCTCTCTTGGTGTTATTTGGTATAATTTGCCATTTCCATTTGGGGAACAATATCGCGGAGTAGTTGCAGTGTGGGTCAGCATTCGAGGGAACAGTCCTGCATTGGAACCTCTTGGCCTCAGCTTTTTCAAAGCTTTCTCCCAGGCAAAAGTCATCTGAAAACCTTTCTGCAGTTTTATTATCTGGTAGATGCTGCTTTTTCAGAATTATTTTCCCTAGTCTGCTATAGCATCCTTTTGTTGACACATTCTCTCCTGAAGGCCTACTAAGGAATTATATCTTTTCAAGTAAAAGTGTCCCAATATTGTCCTATTAATGTGAATGTATGCACTATAATACCATCTTGGGGGCTATTCCTCTTTTAGTTTTCATTCATTGTAGAACAGTGAAATTGGGTCCCAAGATGTGATAGAGTTCATCAGGTCTTCACTCCATTGTTAGGTGAGGAGTGTCTTTTCTTTGCTATTGTTTGCTCCTGTTATCAGGAATCCTAGCAGGAGAACAAATACAGATAAAGAAAGAACCATATAGCAAAAGTCAGAGCTTTTAAACAAATTCAAAGAAGAGAAGAGACCAGCCTCTGTTGGAAGTAAATCAAATATTACTTGTTCTATAAGGTATTAGTAACGAAAATGTGCAGAACCAGGAGAAAACTCATATTACTAACAACATTCAGAAAAATCAGAATATATTTGAAACAGGGAAATGATCAGTTCTCAGATGCTGGTGGGGGCAAATTAGGTCTTAATCACTTTTTAAGTCCTCATTTATACCGGAGAGTACATCTTCATGTAATTCATCTGCGTCTAACATAGCTTGATCTACATCAAACAGGTCTTCATCTTCTCTTGGTGCAAGTATTGATTCTAAGTCTGAGAGGTCAGCAAGGTCTGGTAGTGAAGCTTCCTCGAAAGCATATGCATCTGCCCCTATCTGTTCTGCTCTATCATTTTGCTCTACACAAGAAACTTGTTCCTGTGAAATCAATTGTAAAAGCTCTTCAGCTATTCTTGTTAACTGGGCTACACAATCAACAAGTCCATCAACTAGTACAGAGATTGGCATAGACTCCATGCCTCAGTGCTCTCCTCAGTAGATAAAATATTACTAAAAGCTATAGCAAATGGGCTCTTGGTGACAATGGATCCTGTTGGGCTGGCAATGGCTCAGTGGTTGGTTTGGTTGAGAAATAAGACTGTTGATATGATTATGATGATGATTGAGTACAGAATGAGGTCAGTGGTCCTATAGCACTTTTTGATAAAGTTGGTGAACTTCTCACAAAATTTACATATGGTATTCTTGTTTGTATTTGTACTGAACTGCTATTTCAATGACCATCAGACAGATTGTCACAGCCAAGAGAAAACAGCAAAGCAGATCTAATAATAGAAAAGAGAAATATAAATATTAGTATCCTTGAGGCCTTACCCATCCTACAGGTTTTGGCTATAGGATATGGTTGAGAGGGTATCCCTAGCTATTGTTCCTCCATCTTTGATGGTCTTATGAGGATCTACCACCTATACTCTCTTTCCTTTACTCTTCTCATGTTCTTTACCTCTTCTTAGGGGATTTGAGAACAGTGACCATAAGTAGTTGTTTTTCTTTCTTGAACATCTCTAGTGAGGAAGATACATTCACTCAGAGTCTTTCAATTAATTCCATCTTTGTGAGAAACTTTGCCTCATTGCCATTTATATCTGGTGCTGCTAAATTCTTTCTGTGTTTTTAATAACCCATTCATTAAAGTTTCCAATTGTCCCTTCAGTCTGGGGAATTATGGTAAATGAAAGTCCCACATTCTCTGTCTTTTGCCAAATTTTGGACAACTTCTGTTATAAAATTAATCTCTTGGTCATTTCCCATTACTGCCAATATTCCATATCTAGCAGCTAGTTTCCCCAAATTTGTGCAAAGCCATGGTCGTACTGTTCTCACCTGCATGTCTGGTATGCTCTGCAAACCTTCTTCATGAGTAAGTTTACACTTCTGTAAGGCAATATTCTTTATTTAAAAGTCTAGAGATTGGGGGCTGGCCCCATGGCCTGGTGGTTAAGTTCAGTGCACTCCACTTCAGCCGCCTGGGTTCACAGGTTCAGATCCTGGGCACAGACCTACACCATTCATCAGCCATGCTGTGGCGGTGACTCACATACAAAGTAGAGGAAGACTGGGATGGATGTTAGCTCAGGGCAAATCTTCCTCAAGCAAAAAGAGGAAGATTGGCAACAGATGTTAGCACAGGGCAAACCTTCCTCACCAAAAAAAAAAAAAAAAAAATCTAGAGATTGGCCCAATATAATCTACCTGTCACATTTGTCTGGTATACCACCCCCCACTCCTCTTAAGAATGAGTTTGTTGAGGATGCAAGTTTTTAGTAATTTGACATATCTCATATTGCTTACTTGTTTGTTTCATTCATAGGTTTTTTTTTTTCACTCTTTCTCCTCTGCTTGCCTAGGACATTCATTTCCATATGACTTGAGGTTTCACATGCCCATTCTGCAACCTTAAATTGAACTGACAAGAGAGCTGAGTAGGGACTTGGAGTCCCCAAGACTGCAGAGTCTACATTAGTTTTGGGGGGTCAGGTTGTCTCATCTTTTATTCTAAATAAATTATTCTGTCTTGCCATTCTAATGAGCTGGTACATGTCCTATATGACTTGCTAAATTCCTTTTATTGATTTCTTTTCATATCTCCTTTCACTAGACTGTTTTTCCTGCAATAGTCCAGTCTGTAATTTTCCATTTATTAGAGCATATATCCCCAGTCCACAGCTGATCAGTGTAGCTATATACCTTTGGCCATTTGTTTTCTTGGGCAAATAAACACATTACATTTCTAGCTACCAGTCCTGCAAATTGGGCTGGTTTTCTCTCTCCAGCCTCAGGCAAGCTTTTCCTAGTGGAGAGTATTAGGAAGTAGCCATCCATCTCACTCCTTTAGGATACTGCCAAATCTATCATTGCTTTGTTTCCAGCAGTTCTGACCAGAGTAGAGGCCCAGCAAGCCATAGGCTTTACCTCCCACTAATTGTACTCCTTAGATCTTTATTGGAGAACAGAAAATTATCAGCCAGATGTTCTATGATTTTCACATGGAGCTTGCTGGTCTCCACAAAGCATGGTTTGACCCACTCAGTTATATACTATCTCCACTTAGCATAAGTCCTGTCAAAACCACACATTTTTTTGTCCAAAATCTTGACAGAAGACATAGGGTTTGCCCTGATGGCATACTGTCACAACCATGATGACCAGAGAGCATGATTTTGATTGGAAGCAACTTTCCATCTGAAATATGGGAGAATGGGTACTAGAGGCATAACAGTTTATTTTATTAACTCAAAGGATCTCTGCTTTTTGATTAGAAAAAAAGCAGTCTGGTGGAAGGAAATAATGGAAAGAAATCATGAACAGAATTTGGCATTAATGTAGAGCATTATCAGAAGCACATCAGAAGGGAAACACAGGATAAAGGTGTGTGTTAAATATTACTGGAGGGGCTGGCCCCGTGGCTTGGCGCTTAAGTGCGTGCACTCCACTGCTGGTGGCCCGGGTTCGGATCCTGGGCGCGCACCGAGGCACTGCTTCTCCAGCCATGCTGAGGCTGAGTCCCACATACAGCAACTGGAAGGATGTGCAGCTATGACATACAACTGTCTTCTGGGGCTTGGGGGGAAAAAGTAAATAAATAAAATCTTTAAAAAAAAATATTACTGGAGAGCACCATCACATTTTTCAAAGGAATTAATAACTAACTATGGTGACCATACCCCTAGGGCACAAGACGGTGATAGGAACACACTCACACAAAATATATTTAACTTCTGGCTTCCCTTTCACCAGGTTTTTTTTTCTCCCAGCTTCTCTATTTCCCTCTAGGACTCTTTTATTCCTCCCCTTGGTCTATGTACCTCCATCCATTTACCTATGTGTTTCATTCTATTTCACTTTCTCTGTATCTCCATCTTCCGCTATCCCTTCCCATCATCTTTTCTTCCATCTCTCTCTAAACTGGGCAAAATCTGAAAATAAATTATATTCCATTTATCAAATTGATATTATATTTATAAAGTTTTACATTATACAATCTAAACGTAAAAAGCAGAGAGGTAGGACGTTTCATATTCTGCTATCTTATAAAGACAAATATAGTTAGTTATTACTTATGCAACCCTTGATATATTTTTTATCCCTTGGTCACCTTAGATGCAAAAAGTATTCCTGACCTAGCCTTAACTCTGTTCACCATTGTGTTAGCTATTCCACAATTCCTATCTTCAAAGTATCTTGGAACCTAGGAGCTGGGGGTGCAGGGAAGGTGTTGAGACACTGCTAAGTACTGTAGTACTAAGAAAGAGTAAGCATATAGCATCAGCTTATTCCACTTATGGTAATTTCCAGAGCAACCAATCCCTGACACCTTAGTTTGCCTAAAAGGGTATTTTGCATAGTTTGTGCCTAGCCCCAACTCACCTTAAGGGCCTTTTTATTAGCTGTTCCTTCTGCCTGGGATCCCTTTCCCCCTGAGAAAAAGTCGTTTATTGTCATTCTGGTCTCAGCTTAAGTATCATCTCCTCAGATTTCTGACCCTCCAACCTGAAAAAAAGCCCCCTAATCATGCCTTTCTCATTATGTATACAGTGCATTTTTGCATTGTGGCACCTGTAATTACCTCATCTTTTCTTGATTATTTATTTTCCTGTCTCCTAACCCACCCCCGCATACATATAGACTAAAAGGCAAGTGCCATGATATTTAGAAGCTTGTCTGTTTTTTTTTCTATTGTATTCTCAAGGCACAGAAGAGAGGTGGCCACATAGTAGTTAATCATTAAGTTTTGTTGAATAAAGGAAGGAAGGCAAGGGGGGAGAGAGGGATGACTTTTAGCTCTTTCATTCAGTAAATATTATCACGTTTCAGTCATGCATGGGGATAGCAGGGGGTACAAAGATAAAACAATTCATCAAAACCCATGGTTAATAAAATGAGCAGACAATCCACAGATTGAGAGAAAGTATTTACAAAACATATATCTGACAAAGAACTGGTAACCAGAATATAAAGAGCCCCTACAACTCAATAATAAAAAGACAAACAAACCAATTTAAAAATGGATACAAGATTTGAACAAACATTTCACAAAGGAAGAAAAATAAGTAGCTAAAAAGCACATGAAAATATATTCAACATCACTAGTCATCAGAGAAATGCAAATTGACATCACAGTAAGATACCACAACACACTCACTAGACTGGCCAAATTTAAAGACTGACAACACCAAATGTTGACAAAGATGTAGACCAACCAGAATTCTCACACATTGCTGGTGGGAGTGTAAAATAGTACAACCTCTTTGAAAACGTCTGGCAGTTTCTTATAAAAGTAAGCAAGTAACCTATCTAGTCCCAGCAATTCCACTCCGAGGTATTTACTCAAGAGAAATGAAAGTTCACAAAATGACTTTTACAAGAATGGTTATAGCAGCTTTATGCATAATAGCCAAAAAAAAAAAAAGTGGAAAGAGCCCAGTGTTAATCAAAAGGAGAATGGATAAACTGTGGTATATTCATACAATGTGATACTAATCAGCAATAAAAAGAAAGCCACTACTGATAGGGACAACAACGTGGATGGATATCAAAAACAGTATACTCAATGAAAGAAGCCAGACGAAAGAATACATACTGTATGATTCCAAAATTCATATGCAACTCCAGAAAATGCAAAATGATCTATGGTGGAAAAAATCAGAATAGCAGTTGCATCTAAGGGAGTGGAAACTGATTAGGAAGAGGCATAAGAGAACTTTCTGGGGTGATGGTAATGATTATGTTTCAGAGTTTTGAGTTACATAGGAGTATGCATTTCTCAAAACTCACTGAATAGTACTCTGAAGATTTGTGCATCCCACTGTATGTAAATTTTACTCTCCTCCAAAAAGTAACCAAGCATAATTCTCAGCCTCAAGAACTATATCTCAGATGGGATGACATGCCCGTAAATAATTATCCTGATAAATGCTCACATTTATGGAAGACCCATTGTGTTTCAAGCACTGTGAAACCCACTTTTCTTATTTTAGTACATTTAATCCTCACAATAACCCTATGAATTTACAGATGGAAAAATTACAGATCAGAGAAATTAAGTAACTTGCCTATGGTCATGTGGTAAGTAAAGATGTAGAACTGGAAATCAGGCCAGGTCTGATTCCTAAAATCCTATGCCAGAGGGCACAAATTCAAGTGCCTACAGGAGCAAAATTTGCCTTATTCGGGCCAGAGCTGACATCTCATTCTAAGCAGGAATACAATTGAGGGTGTTAATCTCATT